GGAGCCCGATGCGGGACTCGATCCCGGGACTCCAGGATCATGACCTGAGCCGAAGGCAGTCGCTTAACCAACTGAGCCACCCAGGCGCCCCACATACCAGTCATCTTACTAAAGGTATTTCTGAGTGTTTCTGAGGTTTTACTAAATAAATAAAACAAATGACTAACCAACAAACTTTCCATAATGTCCTAGGTGTTTTCAGGGGTGCCTGGGTGGCTCAGTCAGTTAAGTGTCTGCCTTCGGCTTAGGTCATGATCCCAGGGTCCTGGGACTGAGCCCTGCATTGGGCTCTCTGCTCAGCGGGGAGTCTGCTTCTCCCTCTCTCTCTGCCCTTCCCCCTGGCTCATGCGCACACACACACATGCGCTCTCATTCTCTCAAATAAATAAAATCTTTAACAAAAAATGTCCTAATTTTCGGGGCATCTGGGTGGCTCAGATGGTTAAGCGTCTGTCTTTGGCTCAGGTCATGATCCAGGGTCCTGTGATCAAGCCCCGCATCGGGCTCCCTGCTTGGCAGGGAGCCTGCTTCTCCCTCTCCCTGTAACATTCCCCCTGCTTGTGCTCTCTCACTCTGTCAAATAAATAAATTAAAATCTTTTTTTAAAAAATGTCCTAATTTTCAATATGGTATCATGGAAGGCTTGACACAATGTACAGTAGGGTAATAAACTGCCAATTCATAGTTAAATTCAAAACACAGATCAACTAAATGTACATCTTTGCCTTGCCCTCTCAAAACCCAAATTTTCTCACTTTTCTTTTTCGTAATAAAATCAAGAGCAAACAATAAGCTGTTTTAGACACCAAAGACATTAATTAGAACACCTTCCAAAGAGGTTTACTTTGGGTTTTTGAGTTGGTTTTTTAAAATCTTACTAGCATATACCCAAATGTGTAAACACACATACACGCACGCATGCACGTGAGAAAAGCAAAAGTTCTCACTGAGTGGGCCCAAGTAACTCACTTACCTTGTCTCAGGGTTGTAGCCTAATATGTAGAAAAATGAATCCACTCGAGCTTTAAACTCTCTAGCAGCAAATATGTCAGAAAAATGGGAGATGTTACACTTCCCTCTGAAAATAAACAAGCATAAAAAATACATTAGTATTACCGTCAACTGCTTTGCAAACCGAAACACTACTGGAGGGACAGAGGCAGGGGAAGATAAAACTAAATCCACGTTACTCTAAAAACATGCAGAATATGGCTACAGACTCCAAAATTACCAATTCAGAAAACTAGGAGTTCCCAAAAGAACTAAGAAAACGTCCAAATGTTGTATTTTTTTGTTTCAGGACTGCGTCAACCTACAACTTCACAACTTAACTGCATTTACCTCAGCATTTTAGTCATGGATTAGAATTAATTAAACCACAGAGGTAAATTGAGGGCAGGGCTGTGATGAAAGGATATTAAACTACAACCGACAGGAAAAATTTAAACCACAGTTAAATTACTTTACCAAAAAAATCCGCCTAAAGCCTTTCTAAATCATCAAAGCAAAATGGGCCTTTTCTTCCTCTTACTTTACTATAGGCAGAATGTAAAACTGTCAAATGTTTTTCTTCTCTTTTAATGTGCAAGGAATAAAATGACTTGGAACTTAAAACTGACAGACTTTAACTTTTTAAATACATAGACGGGCTCTATTACATAAACACACACTTCCCGAATTTTCAGGTCATGTTAAATGACAGTAAGTTGGAAAATACCTTCTCAAAGAAATATTGCAATAAAAAGAGCAGTAATATTTCCAGGTTCATCTATCAACACAACTTAAACCGCAGTATAGCTGAAAACTCTCTAATACGACCAAACTCCTTAAAACACAAAGACACACACACACAACACACACAGGTGTTGGGAGAATTTCCAGGGTTCCCAAGGAGGCAGGGAGGCTTTAAGCAATTCCCTTGGTGGTCACAGAAGGTTAACTTTAACATCAAGTGGAAGCTAAGGGCTGTGAGTATAGCAGATGGAACTGGAGAATCAATAGCACATCAGCAGCTCACATGGGATGCTTCCAGGGGAATGAATTCCTACCACTTCAACAGACATTCCATTCCCATGAGGACTCCATGAGTTGGCACATTAACAACATACACACCAGCTAATGACCAAGGTGTCAGAGAAAGGAACTAGCTGAGGGATAGCAACATGGGGATGATATTCATTTGCTTCCTATAAAGAAATTAAAAAGCACCCTCCTTTTCCACAGAGTTTAAGCCTCAGTAATGGGCAGAGGCTAACTAAGATGGGGCTCAACCTCCATTTTAAAAATGAAACAAAGATGCTTTTGATTTATTGAAGTTCCTTTGGGAAATACTGATAACATAATGCAGGGCTGTTGAGCACTTGAAATGTGTCTGCTCCAACGGAAGAGAACTGGATTTTAAATTTTATTTAATCTTAATTAACGTAAATTTAAATAGCCACGTGTTGCTGGTGGCTACCATACTGAACAGCACAGATTTAAGTAACATTTCCAACACCACAGAAAGTTCCACTGGAAGCACTGATTTCTAAGTAACAAGATACAATTAAAGGGAAATATGGACTAGGAATCAACTTTGCAGGCCCAGGACGTATCTCTAGTATGTAGCTGGAACTAAAATGAGCTTCTGGAGAAGAAAAAGCAGGTAAGATACTTTTACAGATGAACAAACAATGCACTCACTCTGAACCTAACTACCCATCAGTCTGATGTGACTTAGTCCCTGAAACCCATAGAAAAATCGGTAAGTTCCTTCATCAGCTAAACAGGGATAAGAACACCTATCATACCCACCTCATATTAAGGAGATCAAATAAGAAGTCTATGAAACTTTATACGCCAAAGTGCTACACAAAACAAGTTATTTCCATCAGTGTCTGTAACTGGAGGAAAGTGATTCCTCTCTTATTAGTCTTCAGCATTACATTCAAGTGTACCCTATCAATGTATTAGCTAAAGGTACAGAAACCCTACCAACCCACAATTCTAAACACAGGCACTGGAAGACAGGTATGTTTTGTTCAGGAAACGGTTTCTCAGTCCCAGCACTACTGACACTTTGGACTGAATAGTTCACTTTTGTTAGGGGCTGTCCTACACTCAGCAGTATCCCTAGTACCCCCTTCCAAAGAGGTTTACTTTGGGTTTTGGAGTTGGTTTTTTAAACCCTAGTACCCCCACACTGCAACCACACGCGTCATTGTTACGATCAAAAATATCTAAGACATTGCCAAATGTTCCGTGGGGAGAGCAACACAACTGGTTTACGGAAAGCCAGAAGCAGCAGGAACAGAAGCATATCAGCTGATAAACGACCATGAAGCTGTAATGAATGATCTCATCTACCACTATGTCCTCTATTTGCTTTCTATTTGGTTATGCGAAAGGTACTGATTTTTGTATGTTAATTTTATATCCTGCTACATGACTAAATTCTTTATTATTTGATAGTTTAATCATTGGTTTTCTGAGGTTTTCCAGGTATATTAACTGTTGTTTGCAAATAAACATAGTTTTACATCTTGTTTACTCTTTATTTTTTTTAAAGATTTATTTACTTGAAAGAGAAACAGAGACAAGAGACAGAGAGAGCACGAACAGGGGGAGAGGCAGAGAGAGAGGGAGAAGCAGACTCCTCGCTGACTGGGAGCCCCACGTGGGGTTCGATCCCAGGACCCGGAGATCACGACCTGAGCCGAAGGCAGATGCTTAACCATCTGAGCCACCCAGGCACCCCTTTTTTTTACTCCTTCTTAACACCTGAATTGCACTGACCCTCCCACACAATGCGGAAAGCAATGGAAATAATGGGCACCCTTGCCTTGTTCCTGATCTCGGTGGAAATGTCTCTCAGGTATTACTATTAAATATGATGCTAGCTTTAGAAATAATCACTGCTTTAGAGATATGGGGTTTTGTTTCCCCTTAGATGTAACAATATGGTATACAATATTGGTAGAGTCTCTAATAGTGAACCTACCTTGCATTACTGGAATAAATCCCAACTGGTCATAATGTCACTTTTAATGATATTAAAATTTTTAAAGGATTCGATTAATTAGATTTAATGTTTTTCCCTTCATTAATTTCTATTTTTATTTCTATCTTCCTTCTCTGTGCTTTTTTGCTGTATAATAGCTCTCATTCATAATAGCCTAGAAACAATCCAAATGTCCATCAATAAGGAAATGGGTAAAATATCATTATATATTTGTAAAATGAAATACTTCACAATACAAAGGAAAGAAGTACTGATACATAGCACATCATGGAGAAAAAGTCTCAAATATTAAATGTTGAGTAAAAGTAGCCAGGCACACAAAAGGCACATACTGTATGATTCCATTTCTAGTGACTGAATTTCTAGAACAGGCAAAAGTAATTTGTGGTGAGAGAAATCAGAATAATGGTTGCTTCTGGGTGGGAAGTTTTAAGAGGAGAGTAGCTTAAGAGAACTTTCTGGGATGATGGGAATATGACACGCCGTGTTCAGGGTCAAACAAATTTATCAAAGTTCGTGAAAATATAAACTTAAAATGTGTGTTTTACTGTATAAGTATTTTTAAAGTATTAGGGGAAAATAAAACAGCAAGAGTCACTAGCAGGTAACTATGGCTGTTCAAAGTTCTGTTCTTGGGGCACCCGGGTGGCTCAGTCGGTTAAGCATCAGACTCTTGGTTTCAGCTCGGGTCCTTAGATGGAGCCCTGCGTCAGGCTCCATGCTCAGCATGCAGTCTGCTTACCCCTCCCCCTCTACCTCCACTCGCATGCTCTTTCTCTCTCAAATAAATAAATAAATAAATAAATAAAATCTCTTTTAAAAAATAAAAAATAAAGTTGCTGTTCTTGGCAATTAATGAGCCATCCTGTATGTAGCCCTGAGTACTAAGTGGAGCTGAAGATAGAGCAGGCAAGCCCACTATGGTTGGCATCCATTTTGAAATATCTTTCATATCACCTCTTGCTGAAGAGTAGAGCTTATATTTTAAAGACTAGAGATTACATTTAGAAAGCATGTGTGTATCATTTTAAGCATTCAATATTTTTTTTCTCCAAAGCACTCTTTTCATCTACTCTCTCAAAAGCAGTACATTATTTGACATTGCTTGTGGAACGAAGGAGGAGAGACTGTTAAGAGAAAATTGCCATCACTCTTACCGTGCTGAAATATCTGATTTCAGAGCCTCCAAGGTCCTATACGCCCCATTTCTAATGGGATGCTTCACTGTTAACAGAAATACGACTATTGAAGGGGCCTTTCATTCATCAGAAACAACAGCTTCCTGCTGGACTCATTTTGGTATACCTTGGTACTCCCTGGTGTGGTGCCCCACAGCTCCACCCTGAGCGCTGCACCATTTGACAAGTGCCCCAACTGGTGGGAGGAGGCGATCTGAAGGGGATGAAGGAGCAGGAGAAGAACCACCTTACACAGGAGAGAATATAAATGGAAATACGGCCCAGAAATTCATTCCATCGAAACTATCCGTAACTGGGAAAGTCTCTGTAGATTCCCAGGCATGTGCGAACCTCAGAGAAACTTGGAACGAGGCGCACAGGCAATGCATAGAATGCTTAGAGCAGCAGGCCTGCCCACAGCTTTGGTCATCACCCTTGCCTGAGCACAAAAAAGATCTTGAGACAGAGTCAGCATCTTGTCAACTGTGAGCCATTTGACTAATGACAGGCACAGACGTTTTTTTAAAGTTTCTTTTCTGTTTTTCATTCTTCTGTTTCTCTTGCCTTCCCAGGGGTTATCTTTCTCCGATTCATCTTGACTCGTGTACGGTGTTTTGAGAATACGGCTCCACATAGTTTCCTAAATAGCTGCTGTATGTGTGACAACTGACGTCGCTTCCACTTCAACGCCTCTGCCTCCCCACTGTCAAATGGAACTGTTTTAAGCATCTCTTCTACATATGCTGAGCTGGACATCACTGCATCCTTTTGATTTATTTGTTGTTCTTTTTATCATTTAAGCTGGGAACTCAATCGTTTGTTTTTTCATTTATATTGATGTGTTTAGTGTAACTAGCCTTCTTTTGATCAGTGTTTTAAATACATGCCACAGATTCTAGT